CGGAGGATCCCCGGTCTGCTGTGGTGGCCCAGGCGTCCTTTTGGTGGCGGGGCGGGGCTCTCCCAGTGGAGTGTGGCGGCATTGGCATCTGTGTGATCAGGTGTATGCCGTGGCAAAGGTGGCTTGTAGCCGAGCCGTGCTAGTTCATAGAACAAAGGTATGAGTACCTTCTTCTGTGATTATAGAACTCTATTTTCTGTATACGATAAAGTAAAAAACACATAAAGAAAGGCTATTATGTATGAATTTCAATTAAAATCAATGCTTTTATCACACAAAAATAGAAAACCAGACTGTCCCATAGTATGATCTGAACAAATGCACAGATTAGTGCTCTCGAACACTGTATGCTTTGTTCTAATGCTAGTTTTGCCATTGTCCACCCAATGGTCGAAATTCTAACGGACTTTGCATACTTTTGCTGCAACAGATAGACAGATCCTATATTCCTAATGGGAGACCATTCTCGCCGACATTCACCACAGGATTTGAAGAGTTCACGGATATGGTTAAACAAAAATACCCAAAGAAAAACATCCCTTGCCCGTGTACACATTGTCTTAACCAGGTGGTTAAAACTTGGCAAGAGGTGAAGGATGACTTACTTATGAAAGGATCAAGATGCCCAAGAGGGGGGTTAATAGGGCTAATTCTAAATTTCTTTGCAATAATTAAATCCTACGGTTAGCCTAATTAACCCTTGTGCCTAGAAAGTGTTTCTATTGATCTATCGCACAAAGAGTTGCAACCTAAGTTCCAATCCTACTCTAGCATGACAATTCTATGAAAGTAAATGATAAAAATTGAATTGCTCAAAATAAAAGCTCAAAGTAAAGAGGGAAGGAGGAACGCGGCGATATTTTGCCGAGGTATCGGAGAGTCGCCACTCCCCACTAGTCCTCGTTGGAGCACCCGCGCAAGGGTGTAGCTCCCCCTTGATCCGCGCAAGGATAAAGTGCTCTCTACGGGTTGATTCTTTGACTCTCTATCACGGTGAATCACCCACAACTACTCACAACTTGAGTTGGGTCATCCACAAGCTCCGTCAGATGATCACCAAGCTCCCAATCACCACCAAGCCATCTAGGTGATGGCGATCACCAAGAGTAACAAGCACAAACTCTCACTTGACCACGACAAGCTTAATGAGAAGGGTGGATGCACACTCTGCTACTCTTGCTTTCACTAATGAGGGCTCTCTTTGGGATTCTCAAATCTCAATCACCTCACTAGGACCTTGCTCTTCTTGGCACTCTCAAAGGTGTTTCTCAGCTATTGGAATGAGCAAAAGTACCCACACACACGAATGGAGGAAGTATTTATAACACCGACTAAAAAACGAACCGTTATGTGCCTCTGCGGGGTGACCGGACGCTTCGGTCATGTTGACCGAATGCTTCGGTCAGTTCACTCCGAACTCTAGTGATCAAGTGGTGACCGGATGCTGGACAGTGTCCGGTCAGCACTGACCGGACAGGTCCGGTCATGATTTTCTATCTCTGGAACCTTACTGGAGTCGACCGGATGCTGGCCCTCAGCATCCGATCACTCACCTCTCAGCATCCTGTCACTTCCAGATGACTTCACCTTGATCAAATGAACTGATCGGACTCTGCGCCAGGGTCTGGTCAGTATTTGACCCTCCATTCACTTCCAACTCTCAATCATGCGTGAATGAAGTTTGCTCCAATGGATCTAAGGGCTATTTTGGAGCTACCTAGAGCTAGATTAAGCAAGTGTGCACCACACCTAACTCACTAGACTCACCTAGGTCAAGCTACCTATCCATACCCCCCTTAATAGTATGGTCAAAGGAAAAACAAAGTCCTAAACTACTCTAAGTGTCTCTTCAACACCAAACGACACTTAGAACTAGTCCATCCTTAACCTTGTCGTCCATCCTTTGAAAACTAAAATGATTTCCATCGTAGGGGCATGACCACCATGATTGCCCAATCGATCTCGATTATCGTGACCTAACTTAATTGCCTCTGCAAGACACACGTTAGTCACAGTAATCACGTATTGCCATTAATCGCCGAAACCCAACTAAGGGCCTAGATGCTTTCAACTTATAAACAGAATGTCACCCACATACACCACATGGATTCATCATGGGGAAGACGGAGGAGGTATTGACATTATAGAGCCATCAGATGTGCATGGATCTCATCATGATGGTTGGATTATGAAGGAGGAGCAGGTGGACCGTGACGATAACATATTACCAGATTTTAATGATTTAGTTCAAAACCTATTGACATCTAAAGAGCAGGCAGGAAGAGTCCTAAAGTTTGAAAAAGTGTTGGATGAGTTGAAGCAATCGGTTTCTTTTAGATCTACCTTCTCAAGATTCTCCTTCCTTGTCAGGTTGCTCTATATCAAGTCCCACTATCGAGTTAGCAACAGCTATTTTGATGCACTATTAGCGTTGCTGTCAGATGCATTCCCTAGTAGCAACGTAACAAAATCATGTGAGGAGGCCCGCAAATATATTCGAGAATTGGGATAAGGTTATGAAAGTATCCATGTGTGCAAGAACAACTGTGTGTTGTTTTGGGGTGATCGTGAGGAATTGCATGCATGCCCAAAATGCAAAGAGTCTAGATGGGAGGATGCAGATGGTAGCAGGCGGGTTCCTCATAAGGTTTTGAGGCATTTTCCTCTAATACCGAGGCTACAAAGGATCTTTGCTGCTCGAGGAACAGCAGTGGACGCCGAATGACATGAGAGTGAGCGAGAGAAGAATACCGGTTAGATGAGCCATCCAGGAGACGGGGAGGCATGGTAGGACTTTAATAGAAAGCACCTAACTTTTACAGATGATCCAAGGAACTTGAAGCTTGTCATAGCCACAGATGGTTTCAATCCATTTGGCAACTTTAGCTCGACATATAGTATGTGGCCTGTTCTTATAAAGCCTCTGAACCTGCCACAATGGGAATGTGTGAACCCATTGAATTGCTTTATGCCTCTACTGATCCTGGACCCAACCTCTCGAGGAAAGGATTTTGATGTATTCTTGGAGCCTCTTATAGAAGAACTAAAAGAACTATGGAAGGGTGTCAACACTTTTCATGTACTACATCGTGATAATAAGAAAGGCTTCACTCTGTGCGCTGCCGTGCTTTGGTGCATACACGATTTTCTAGCATTGAGCACCTTGTCAGGCCAAACTACAAAATGTTATTATGCATGTATTTATTGCAACAAAAATCCATTGTCAAGGAGCCTAAGAAAGAAGCTAGGCTACCTTGGACACCGTCGTTACCTTCCTACGGATCACCCTTGGACGAAGAGCTTGGATTTTGATGGAAAACTGAGGACTGAGATGCGCCAGAAAAGTTCACTTTACAGGAGGTCCTTGAGGAAGACAAGGTGAAAGATGCCTACCCAGATAAGCAAGGTGGAAAAAGAAAACGAAAGCATGAAGATGAGGCAGTGATTTATAATCGAAAATTATTTTCATTTCTCGGATAAGCCCTCACACTGGACTCAATAACAATAATATTATTTTTCTACTCATTTTATTCTATTATTTGAATCACTTGTAGTTCAAATTTGACTTATACCAAAAAATTCTTTGAAAAGCAATAAATTAATTAAATATAACAAACGGATCCAGAAAATATGCCAAATATTAACATAGAGTACCACATGTTGTATGTAGAGAGTAGAAAAAGTTTCAAGGCTAGAAGTGAAAAAAAAACTTATTATTTCGTGCAGTTATATCTCAAATTCAATGTATATCAATTAAAATTCTATAATTGCATTTAATAAATTAAAATTATCAAACGGATCCAAAAAATTACTAAAATTACACATGAATCAATCTATGTTCTCTATTGACTATATAAAAAGTTTTGAAGTCAAACCCCAATTCGATCATCACTTTGACTCCAAATCTTACCAAATTCTTCTCAACTTTACGATTCTTCTTCTGAGGTACTTCGGTTTGTAAACATCGTACATGACAGATTATGTGAAACCTTCTTAATTTTTTACCATAGCCTCCACGTATGATATCATGAGATCTTGACAAATCTCATTATTTTCAGACTTCATTTGCTTTTTTTAAATTTAAAAATCATTCAGCCACATGTTCGTGGTCGTGTTTTCTGAACAAGATGTGCGAAATTTCTTTCCATTTCCTGGATAAGGCCTCACACTGGACTCAATAACATGAATATTATTTTTCTACTCATTTTATTCTATTATTTGAATCACTTCCAATTTAAATTTGACTTATACCAAAAAATTCCTTAGAATACAATAAATTAATTAAATATAGCAAACAGATCCAGAAATATACCAAATCTTAACATGGAGTACCACATGTTGTATGTAGAGAGTAGAAAAAGTTTCAAGGCCACAAGAGAAAAAAACTTATTTATTTACCGAGTGCAAAAAAAATACTCGGCAAACTTATTTCTTTGCCGAGTGCTGGAAAAAAACACTCGGCAAATTTATTTTTTTGCCAAGTGCCACTAACGGACACTCGGCAAACTCCTAACGGCCCACACATTTACTGACGGATGTCCACGTGGTGGTTTTTTGCCGAGTGTATCTGTTTTGCCGAGTGTTTTTTCTTAGTTTGCCGAGTGTTTTTTTTAGCACTTGACAAAGAGTTTGTTTGCAGCACTCGGCAAAGAGCTTGTTTGTCGAGTGTCCGATAGAACGTACTCGACAAATATTTTTGTACTCGACAAATCTACTGTTTCCGGTAGTGAATAATGCATAAGCTCTAAACAAGGAAAAAAAAAATAATATCTGTTATACATATAGAATTGTGTGCGGTAATAGATATTAGATATTAACATATATATGCATTGGATATATGGAAAAATGATACCTAGCTATAAACAATCAGGATATGAGCACATTGAATTTCTTCTAAACACGAGAATACAACCGATCACGGTGCATACAAAAGGCACAGCCTGCCACATCGTTTTGTTTGCATTGCAAAATCGAGCGCAGCAGCTACGATAATCAAGACAATGGAGCACGGTGTCGTCGCCGCCGGGAAGCCCAAGGTGGTCTTTGTGCTCGGCGCCACAGCTACCGGGAAGTCGAAGCTCGCCATCGCCCTCGCCCAGCGCTTCAACGGTGAGGTTATCAACGCTGACAAAATCCAGGTCCACGATGGCGTGCCCATCCTCACGAACAAGGTCACAGAGGAAGAGCAGGCCGGGGTGCCCCACCACCTGCTCAGCGTGCGCCACCCCGACGCCGACTTCACCGCGGAGGAGTTCCGACGCGAAGCGGCCGGCGCCGTCGCCCGGGTGCTCTCGGCGAGCCGCCTGCCAGTCGTGGCAGGCGGGTCCAACACCGACATCGAGGCGCTGGTGGAAGGCGACGGCGCCGCCTCCCACGCGGCGCACGACCTCCTCTTCGTCTGGGTGGACGCCGAGCGGGAGCTGCTGGAGTGGTACGCCGCGCTGCGCGTGGACGAGATGGTGGCCCGCGGGCTGGTCAGCGAGGCTCGCGCGGTGTTCGGCGGCGCCAGGGCTGACTACACCCGCGGCGTGCGCCGCGCCATCGGTCTGCCTGAGATGCACGCGTACCTGATGGCGGAGCGCGAGGGCGCCGCCGGGGAGGCCGAGCTCGCGGCCATGCTGGAATGCGCGGTGCGCGAGATCAAGGACAACACCTTCCGCCTTGCGCGCACGCAGACGGAGAAGATCCGGCGCCTCAGCACGCTCGACGGCTGGGACGTCCGCCGCATCGACGTCACTCCCGTGTTCGCGCGCAAGGCCGATGGCAAGGAGTGCCACGCGCAGACGTGGAAGAAGATGGTGTGGGAGCCATGCGAGGAGACGGTGAGTGCTTTCCTCGAGCCGTCCCTGACAGCCGTTCCAGGCGTTGCAGTAACTGAAGAAGGGGATGGTAGCCGTGATGCCGGCGTCGTCGTCGCCACTGCTGAACCCGCGCGCGCTGCCGAGGTCGCCAACGCGATTGCTGATGCAACGGAGACCATATAGGTAGCTAGCGGACGTGGCCATGCAATGCATGCAGGCAGGCTGGCTAAGGCTGTGTTTGGCTCGGCTCTCCGGGGCTTTGGCTCCTCATGCAGCGACTGTGCAAACCTGTAGATCATTGTAACGGCTAAAAAAATAGCTCTGGCTCCTATACAAATGAACGTGGGTTAAGAAAGAGCTGCCGAAGCTTCGTTTGTGGTGCTCTGCCAGCTCCGCCACAGTACCTGCACAGTGACAGAGCCGGAGCCAGCGCGGGCTCCACCAAACGCGCCCTAAGTGCCTCCGCCTTGCTTTAAACTGATAGGAATGTGCTGTGTGCATGGGAAAGGAAGAGATACAAGTGTATGCGACTTGGCGTCAAAAAAAAAGTGTATGCGACTTGACTTTCTTTCTAAATGTATCTCCTTTTTGAATGTATCTCTCCATAGCGTCTGGTTTAATATAATTATTATAATGTTTTTTAAATCATATTGTATATGCTCACACTCAGCTATATCAATATACTAACGTGGTTCTGTTCGCTTGTCTTATAATCCGTATTTTTCAGTTTGTTTTTTTTATGAATAGTGTTTTTCTCTTGCAACAAATCAGTCGGAACAGTATTTCAGCTTATTTTTTTTAACGAAACGAACGTGGCCGTACTCTATCCCTGTATAAGCAGATACTCTATCTATCCCTGTAAGCACCTTGGAAGACTGAGGTGGTACATCTTTTGTTGACAAAATCGTCTCGCTGTCGATGGTACATCATCTACACCGAAGGAACAGTATCATTATATCTATATCTATATATACGTATATATCTATATCTATATCTATATCTATACCTAATAAAAAAGACACAAAATTTCAACACATTTTTTTCGTCTATCCATTTTTTGATCCGTCTCCCTTTGACTACCGAATAATAGAAAGTTTCTTCCGTCCATACATATATATAACCCGTGCTTATACGAGATGAATCCTAATCGAAATAGACTCCTATCATGTAGGACTTTTTATCTTGAGTAGTGAATAAGAATCCTAATCCAAAAAGAGCAAACGATATCTTTATTTCTCTTCTCTTCTATCTTTACCTATATCTTTACTTTCTTTCTTATTTTTTTCCAAAAATGTTCGGACTTTTCTGATTTTTGCCGTAGAGACCTCCGTCACGAACAAGAGGACGTCAGTCCTTTTCTTCTTCAGTGTACTGTGTTGATTTCTGTATTCTTACTTCCGGTTAGAATCCTTTTCATGTTTTGATGTCTTTTTTATTTCCTTTTTTTCAGTTTCAATTAGAGTGTTTCGTTGTCTTTTTTTTAGATTTCTTTTTTCTAAGTTGAAGTACTGGAGGATTCAAACCAGGTGGATAGGTTCCACCATAATGAATAAGTAATGAAAGAATAGACGATGAAAAAGATTTCATTCAGTTGAAGGACTTGTTCGGTTTCATTCAAGCGTTTATAGTTGAGCTATGCTCAATTCACTAACGTGTGGATGTTGTTTTGAGTCCACAGAACCATAAAATCACAAACATGTAACATAAGGTGGCACTTAATAATAATAATAATAATAATAATAATAATAATAATAATAATAATAATAATAATAATAATAATAATAATAATAATAATAATAATAATAATAATAATAATAATAATAATAATAATAATAATAATAATAATAATAATAATAATAATAATAATAATAATAATAATAATAATAATAATAATAATAATAATAATAATGTCAAAAGCTTTGACAGCAAACTTTCAAATCAGGGATATGAATGGTAAATCATTAATTTGTGCAAATATATAGTAGCACAATATTAGCCTGTTCGGGAGGCCGTATCGTATCGTGGATTATTTACCGCTGGCTGGTTTGGTGTGAGAGAAAAACACTGTTCCCGGCTGGAAATTTACGATCGTTAACGAGCAAGCGAACAGGCTGATTGATATGATATAATTATTAGCAAGTCATACGGTCAAAAATCAAAATGGCTATATTTGAAGGTCGTACAACTGTCAAAATATTAAAAATATATAGACAAAAAAGTCAACTATTGTTGAGCTATACCGTACATTAAGACGTCTTTGGTGACTTTGTCACGCAAAATATACGCTCGGCCCCGGTGCTAACCACATGCTAGGATGAAACATGAAAACTAATTCAAAAAACATATTTAGGTTGTTAAAAAAATCTAAGATTTGAAACACTTATAGTGCATACAAATATGTACTCACATGTAAAAGTTGAGATACAAACTCACTTTTGAAAAATTCTAAAAAATGACCATACATGGATTCCCCACAAAGATCCACTAATCTCAAAGAAGTCCAAGTCGCTCTTGACTGCGAGCACGGCTAGTGTAACAGAACCGACCAAATCATAAGAACGTAAGTAAAAAACAATCACCGAAGCGATCAAATTCCTGTACTTAAGCTCCCATTATCCCGGTAGTCCGGAAATCACGAAGGATTTCAACCAACTCTCGACATACAAACCAAGACCGTAGTGATTCAACACAACACATCATTCGTTACAATATTTCACAAGTAGCATTTGGATTACATCCATCAGAGTTCAAATAAAATATTACAAACCAAGTTCAAATCTGCGGAAGCAACATAGTTTAGTACATAACTTCATAGTTTCAAATACATTGCCAAGTCTGAGTCATGTCCCACAAAAGCATTATCAGGTACGAGAACTAGTAGAGGCCGTGCCCAACGGTCTAGTCTTCATCCCCAGCCAGGAGAAGGCAATACTTGCAGCAACCAAAGTAGAACTGGTCATCTGCAACAGGTGGGAGATAAATCCTGAGTACGAGAAGGTACTCAGCTAGACTTACCCGTCAAAAACCAGAAATAAAAGACACCAAGGATCATGCAAGGCTTATGAAGTGGGCTAGCTTGACACAGTTGCATAAAAGAGCTTATGAACATAGTACCCAATTTAAACTTCGCATCAAGTTTATCTTCATTTACCTGTCCACTAGATTTGCACCTGTACTAGAGCACTCACTTATTAGGAGCAAACAATATTAACCATAGCAGGTATAATAAGGCTGTCATCATCATTTATGAACCATTATGTTATTTAGTGTATCTACATTGGAGATAAGCCCGTCAAGTTCTCACTAACCGGGAGAGACGGCGACTCGAATCGAATTACAACTCAGCTGAGGGGGTATTCCTAACTCTCACCCTGGCATACTTAGCAAGGGTAGCCGTGGGTCACCTTTGGAACAACTCAGGAACCAAATTCGTGGGTTCAATCAGTGCCAGCACTCTCAGGGATTACCCTTCTGCCAGGACGATCAGGACTTTTAAATCACTTGCCCTTGGACTCACGCCTACGACTCCCTTCCGAGGCGCACTTTATACTTATCGACTCCCGGCCTGAGGTGAGCTACTCGGCTTCGTGGTCGGTCACCAGACCCGGCCAACTAAGAGAGAGGCATGCGTTCAACATGAATAGGAAAGGCTCCAAGATGCAGTCCTTAATCGACACAGACGAAGTCACTGCAAACCGGTAAGCCTCCGTCCGGTCTTCATTTCAAATTAAGACTGGTTCTTTTCCACGATAGCAAATATAGACAACCGTGCCATATGTATCTTCCTATATCTCGCAGGTGACAGGAAATCACCCGACTTCTACCGTGTTTGAGCAGGGCTAAGCACTACACGAGCCTGAGCTACATAGGATTCAGGGTATCAATATCTGGACAAGGATTGGATAACCAATGCAGCAAGTGTTTGCATCCAACACCTAAACTTAATGCAACAATACATATATGTAACAATAATACTGTAACTGCATTTTGAAAATTAGGAGGCTTAATATGCTCCGGGGCTTACCTTTCATAAAGTTGCACGGACGGTGATCCGGGCACTCAACGGCAACCTTGTCTGGCACTTCTCCTGAAGGCTGCTCCTCCTGAATCTCCGGTGTCGGCTGCTGCTGCTCGCTCGGTTCCTCGAATTCCAGCAGGGTCACTCCTTCCGGTACACCTATTGCATGCCGATGCACAAGATAAATATAATGGATGCATAAGGAATGACATGATGCTCATGATGAATGAATCACAGTAAGTGTTTAACGAAAACATTACTGGACACTCGTTTATCGATTAAGAATAGCTCTATTCAAATCACTTTAAAACAGGTATCTAACTTAACTTGGAGAACAAGATCAACTTACCTAACTTGCATAACCTAAGATAAAGATGCTCATCTTCAGTTAAAGGCCTAACACCTAGGAACATTACCACAAACTTAGAAATAGTAAAGGCATACTTAAAACAACAGTTAAAGTTTCATATGCAAACAGGTAGTTCCTTAATTCAATCACAACAAGAGTTCTACAAATTCAGATGACTTGCAAGAGGACATTCTGGAAAGCTTATGAAATTATCTACAAATAATTTGTAAACATCAAAGCATGATTCAACCCTTTACCAGGTCGAATTCTTTGATCAACAGAACTCTGCCCTCACAAGGCAGAGAGTAAGCAAAACTGGAACCTAATTTTAAACAGCTGTAGTTTCTAAACTACTGGGCCAAATGCCCTCAAATTTGATAGGAGCTAGATACATAAATTATCCACAACTTTTGTATTCATCACATTCACAGAAAACCAAATTATCATGGGAAACTTTATAAAGTCCCCAGATCTGTCCAGAAGGACATAATGCAAAAAGAAATAATTATTAACTTATGTGCTAAACACATAAACAGACAAAACCAACTTTACGACTTTATCACACATATCACAAGAACACCAGAAAGTATAGTGCCAACTTCTAAATAAATTATTTAATATCCTTTTCTAATTTATTTAGTTAATTAGGTGATTAAAGCAATATATAGTAAAGCTGTTTATAAAAATCTACAAAAATTACAGTAGCTATCTCATGCTTCACATAGACTACCATAAAAATTTCAAAGCCATTGGGCAAGCAGAACTTGCTGTATCCAAAATAACAGGTGGCATGTCTATTTCTAGCATAATTAGGAA